TCTTTGCGTTCTTGGAAAGATATAGTTCTTTGACCTTGAGTGAGCTCCTACGTTTCCGGTGGTTTTTAGTGGGTTATTTTCTCTCTATTTATTTTGGCTGCACTCGATGATAAGAATAGTGGAAACCCGTGGAGGAGGAGGAGGAGGCTATACCACGAACGACTAGATGATTATGTTGCTTCTACAGAGGTTTTCTTTGGATTGACAAATAAATACTTGTGTGTGAGAAGATAACTACTTGGGTTGAGTTTATGTAAAACAGGCTTTGATTTGCGAACCTTTTCTAACATTATAGTCACAATTTGTGCAACCTGGAGTTGTTAAGAGACATCTTCTGGATAAGGTTTATCAATGATAAATTTTAATTGATGCTTTGATGTTGTCATACTAATACATTGTGTTCATATTTTACAAAGTTTTGGAGAGCATCAGTTGAATAGCTTGCTAACTGCACTAAAGAAATCAGTCTCAAGTCTTCTTTTTGGATTTCTTTAGTTTCAGGCCTTCCTTCTCTTGCTATGACTATGATATTACTTGGCAGATGTTAAGGACAATTTTATCTTCTTTTCACTAACTTGTTCTATAGCAGCTCATTTAGCCTATTTGTAATGGTTTCTGTTAGATATAACATCAGACTTGGAGCTTGCGAAGTTTGATGGGAAGAGAAGACCAAACCATAATGTGAATGGTGTATTTTGGATACTACTACTAAACCTTGGCATTTATGTGGCAGATCACATACTTCGGGTACCTATACTTCTTAATCCTATAGTTGGAATCTATGGCTTGTTATTGTGGTCTTGAGTAATGTGCATCAAAATCATTTTGTAAATGTCCGGTACTATCTTGGGATTCTCAAATGGCATTAGCTAATAGTTATTAGGTACTAATAATTTTTTTATAAGACCTAATAGTGTTTGGCATTAAAGATTTTAGATTATGTTTATGAGGCCTCCAAATGTGGTAGTCAGAAGAGGTGAAATGATTATTGTTTGTGGCAGGGTCTGCCGTACCGAGCTGTACCGCCCGGTATGGGCGGTACGTACCGGTCCGACAGGTTTTCGGTACGCGGACCGATTGTTACCGGTCCGAGGTACTGTAGCACTGTAGCAGTGCTACAGTACTCGGTACACCCAGGTGTACCGCTCGATATACCGTACCGTACCGGTACCGAGCCCAGGTCAAAATACCGGTACGGTACGGTATTGCGAACCTTGGTTAGTGGTACGAGGAAAGGTAGAGGTAGACCTTAAAAGACTTTAATAGTAACTATAAATAAAGATTTAAATATTCTGAGCCTAACCAAACATATGACTTTTTACAGATCTCAATGACAATAAAAGATCCATGTAACCGATCTCAAATAGTTGAGACTTACGACTTTGTTGTTGTTATTGTTGTAAATAAGATTTATGTTTATCTAGAAAGTGCAAGCATTTCCTTGTCTCTTTTCTTAGTAGTTATTTCCTTGCTAGTTGGATAGCATGATACATTTGCGATATGTGAATGATACCTGATCTCTTGAACTTAGACTTATTAATTATAATGTTTGAAAATTTAATTTCCTTTTCAGCTTCAGGAGATCAAATCCCTCTATCTGTACCACATCTGTCCAGTGTGGTACCAGTTTGTGACAGCAACATTCTGTCACGCTAACTGGTTAGTTCTCCGATACTGCATAGGGAAACAATTTTTTTTTTATGAGCCTGTTATTCTCAAGGTGCATAAGCTATGTTGTCTTCCTGGCTGATAAGATGGTTCTGTTTTCTTTTTTAATTATGATGACATCAAAATAATTGTTTTTACTGTAGGCCTTACTTTTCAAACTTTACAGGAACCATCTTTCCAGCAACCTATTTTTTTTGTATATTTTTGGTAAGAGTCCGTGACTTCGTTTAAAATGTTATATAATTTCCTCATGGTGTTTCTCTATCAATTTCTAACTTATATATCCTTTTTCTTGAACAGGAAAATTAGTTGAAGAGGAACAAGGGAACTTTGCATTGTGGATCTCATACATTCTTGCTGGTGCTGGTGCTAACCTTGTCTCATGGTTACTTCTCCCAAAATCTGCAGTGTCTGTGGGAGCATCTGGTGCAGTCTTTGGATTGTTTGTTATAAGTGTCCTGGTGAAGGTAACATCTATTACTACTTGCATGAAGCAGTTCCTGGGAGTTTTAAGATATAACTAATGCGTGGACCTGATTGCTGCAGATGTCGTGGGATTGGAGGAAAATTATAGAGGTTCTTATCCTCGGCCAGTTTGTAATTGAGAAGGTAAACAATGAGATTCTGAAAGAATGTTAATGCTATTTAAGCACTACAATACTGATTAGTGAAGTAGTGGAAGTACTTTTCCATCATTATGTGTTCAGGCATAGAACTCTAAATAAAGTTGACAAGGCTTCATAAAACAATTTACAAAATTTATGATCCATCACCAACCTGACTTCAATTCTCAATGTTGATCTTAAATTTCTGGCCAAGTTTATGTTAGCCATGGTAAATTTCATCATCTGCTTTTAATATAAATTATGTTTTGATCTCATTTCACTTCTGGTATACTAGAACTTTTGTGCACTCTAGAAATTCAAAGCTAGTTAGATGTCATACAAGTTAGAGAAAGCAGTTAGACGTTTCGGGTCAACTCTAATAATTCTCTATGACTTAGTGCACAACTCTTTGACTTCTCTATCATTGGTGCATGATACAAGGAAAGATATACCAAGGTAGATAATATTACATGTCTGTGACATTCACAGTCCAGGGCAAAAAGGTCTGGCTTGGTCATATTAGCGATTACCTGTCCTATCACCACCCATGGCTAGTTGATAATTTAAGACATCAATTTTCCTGATGTAACATTGAATCTGAAGTGTGTTGCTCATTCTCTAGGTAGTTCTTGTTGTTGACCGAAGTATGTGAATCAATTGTGCCACACATGCAGATGAGTTGTGAGTTATAAGATGTACTTCTAGTCGAATGAGTTCAAAAGAGCGCCTGAGACATACACACAGACTGCATCAGGGCAAAATGACACTCTTTTTTTGTTACCGCAGCAAAAGTTGTTTCTTCCCACGAATCATTGTAGCATGATGTGCTTACTTTTATCATCAAACGACACATTGCTTGGGACCTCTGTCATCGGTGTTGATCATTTTACTGGCAATTCTAATAGGTCATGGAGGCAGCGCAAGCTTCAACGAGTCTGACAGGTACATATGGAAGAGGCTTGATGGCTGTTAATCACATTGCTCATATCTCTGGTGCTCTGATTGGTGCTGCTTTGGTATTGCTCGTAAGTCGCATTCCTTCCCAACCTTCAGGCCAAGATGACAAGAACAAAAGAAGTTGATGTATCGCTTAGAAAAACATTTTATATTTACCAGAACCTTCATTGTAATTGTCTGTAATTGATGTATGTTCATGTAAATCACAAAAACACAGGTGTTTTCTCCCTTATTGCTCCAACATTGTGTCTGGGCATCCCAGTTCCTAATGTTTAAGTTAAAATAGGCTGCTGATAGTAGCTGTTCATTTGTTCACTGAAACATCTATACAGGGTAATGAAGAAGCTTTATCTTTGCTCGAAGATAGATTTCTTTTACTTTTTAAGCCATGTGGAAGCGTGACTAGTTTAAGAGTTGTGATTTGTCAATCTTAGTTATCGGAGAACTAGAACATTGTTTTTGGATCTTCTGAGTAGAATGCTGAACAACAACACCAACATTGCATTGTTTCAAAACGCTTGTGATTCTTAGGGTTCATCCTTTGTGTTTTTTCTTGTGGAAACTTCTTCACCATCGGCTCTCCACTTTTGTGAGACTTGCCAAGTTAAACATTTGTCCTTCTTATGGTTGTTATCTTTGTGAGGATGAGTTTCATGAACAAAAGCACTTGTTCTTTTCTTGTCCTAATACATTAGAATCACAATTTGATACCAACTTTAAATTCTTTCAAAATTGATATAATGGAGAAGACAATAAATGTTCCAAAGATTACTTCATTCATTGTCCGTAAAGCACTTACTGCCCGTTGCTTTTGGCTGATTTTGTTTCTCCGTTTTTGCGGTTCTATATAAGGCTGCTGCTCCTATTTCTGGCTGTCATCAATCCTAACGAGTCTGAAGTTTGGTAGGAGATAAGTAACATACTAATAAATCGGAAAACACTTGAGATTGGCTGATTTAAGCTAACTGCTAGTTGAGAATGGAGGTATAGGATTCCTGATTAGATCGAGTGCTAATCAAGAAGCAGATTGGATGATTTTTGCGGGGACTTGTTTGCTGGCAGGAAGCAAATTCATACCAGCTCAAAATGTGTGTGGAATGCTAAACTTTTGGCTACCAAAGTTGGAATTGAGCATGCATTATCATTGGAAATATAAAGAATAAAAGTTGAATCAGACCCGAAAATTATTATCAAGCTTACCGTGGTTTTTGCTAAAGAAATTCTAAATTTAGTTGAGAATTTTTTGGAATATAAATTTGATCATATTTTGAGAGTGATCGTATTGCCAATTGACTTGCACAGTTTGCTCAAGAGGTCAAAATATCTCAGATTTGGAGGTATCGTTGTCCTCCAGATTTACTTAATATAAAATTTCAATCCGAAGGAAGGAGGGATGTCGATCCTCAATTTAAAGTAATAAAAGTAAATGGAATTCCATAGATCTCACAAATATGTATAAAGTTCTATGGAAAGTTAATACTCAATGAAAATGGACAAATGAAGTGAGACATTTTATACCTTTCGAGGTCGATAAAAAGTTGAAAAAAAATAATTCACTTTCGATCCTAATACAAATATATTCTTTAACTTCTTTCATGGTAGAAAACAAAAAAGCAAAATCCAGTTCAACTTATCATAATCCATTAGTTAACATGTTGGTTAATCATATTTTAAAACACCTTAATCTGCTAAGGACAACTGATTCATGTAGGTTAAATCTGCAGTTGCAAGCAATGAGGAAGGAAAGAAAGGTTCACATCACACTGGATGGGTGCAAAACATTGCACAAAAGCTGGTATAACACTGCAATGATGTTGCTATGGTACAAAGCAGAAATTATTACACACTGTTCCACAGTAAATTTCATCCTATAACAGATCAATTCCTTGTGAAGCCAACAAGACCAACAACCGGGAGGAAGAACACCCCAACATGAACTAGTAACAATCACCGAGGAATTATGGCACAGGTTATAGAGGAAGTAGTACTAATTTGGCAAGGTAACCAACTTGGAAGGGAACGACACAAGTAGACTCCATCTAGCATTCACAACCAGATGACTGCTGCTGTCTTGCACCGCCAGCCACATCAATCGTATCGGGAAGATATCTTCACCATAAGAAGATGGCAATGAGAAATTAACACCAAGAAAGAAAGAAAACAAGTCTAAACAAAAAAGGGAGAGAGATAAACAAGAAGTTACTAGAAATTCACACAGCAAATAGCAAGCTACAAACCTTGTGAGTTGCCTATGAAATTAGTTTTTTTTTATTGAAATATTTGATTTTGGGCATGGGTGTCAAGCAGCTTAAGAACTAAAAGGGAAGTAACTTTAGGCCAGTTTGATAGCAGTCGACATGTGCCAATATATAAACACACAAGCCAACTTACATATCTTCTTCTGGTTCATTCTTCAGGGCATTCCTAGCGATACATTGGAAAGCAGCTTCTACATTGAATCCTTCTTTAGCAGATGTCTCAAAATAGGGGATGTTCCCCTTTGATGCACACCATGCCTTTGCTTTCTTCTCAGAAACCTGAAAACCCAGAAAGGGATAGAAGCATAGTAAGATATACGGTACCACTTAGCAGGGTTCCACGCCACAACCCAAGCCACTCAGGTCTTATCATCTAACAGTAGTTAGCTGAACCAATCTTTTCCTTTTCACTCAACTAATTTGTCTGGGCTCAAAGGATAACGAGAATGAAACAGTGCTTCAACCATTCTGCTATTTTTGTTTAATTCCAATACATATTAGAAGGAAAATACTAGTGTCATACCACTCGGCTGTTGCCACCATCAATGTCTATCTTGTTGCCCAGCACTATAAAAGGGAAGTTCTCCGGATCAGATGGGCTAGCCTGAAAATTAGATGACAAATGCAGATATTATATAATCACATGTTCATTTATGAGTGTCACTAAAGATCAATTAAGACAATTGCACATCATTTACCTGAATAAGAAATTCCTCACGCCAATTATTTAAATTGTCAAATGATTTCATAACATTAACATCATAAACAAGGACACAACAATCAGCTCCACGGTAGAAGGCCACACCAAGACTCTGGAACCTTTCCTGCCCTGCCGTGTCCCAAATCTGAAAGAGAAGACGGTAGACAGTCAGCCTATTGAATTACACTAGGCTGAAAGAACACAATACAATTTAATAAAAATGTTAAGCAATGATTTTATCAAACAGTGTCATCAACAAATGCCTATAGCTGCACACAAAACAAAATATCCTCTTCGTTTATAGGACATCACTTGATTATATATCATATCAAGTACTTGAGCTTGACAAAATACCTGATCCTGAATGGCAGAGTGCTCAAATTTCACTAGTGCCTGTTTCCCACCCTATTCTCATATTGTAAACTGGTACTCATAATTCATTAAAGATAACTGAGACAAGTAAACTAACTAGTGCCTGTTTCCCACCCTATTCTCATATTGTAAACTGGTACTCATAATTCGTTAAAGATAACTGAGACAAGTAAACTAACTATGCTATCCTGATAATCATGACAGCATCCTCTGAAATCCTAAGATTTGTCTGATATTAAATTTATTATTTCTTTAATGTGAGGAACACTCACGATATAACAGGTAAGTTGCGGGGATGACCAATAAACAGAAATGTGCCTGCTGATTAATGGAATTAAATGCATTCCTATAAAGTGCACTTGGTACTCCAATTTCCATAACTGGTAGCAGATGGTCACTCATAAATCATGAAAGGACTTTAGGGGAATAGTGCAACGACACAAACGCAACCTCTTTTCCCACCAGTTGAGATGAATTACATGAACTATTTCCCACCATAAATAGAACAAATAACTAATAAAAAACAACGAAATAATGAATCAAAACTGATTCAAAGCCATCACTAACCAATGAACTGCCATCAGCAATTAGTCAAGAATAACTTTCAGAAACAAAATAATTGACTTTCACTTTCTTGTATGGCCATGTCACCAATGAAAAAACATCCTTTGATGACTAATGTCAATTACATGTAGATTTCTTTAAAAGCTTACTCTTCTTATGCACATCAACTAAATAACGACCTCTCTTAAATCTACTTTAAGAATTCATTCAAGACATAATAAACTCTAGACCATTAAACAAAGTAGACCCAGGCTAGTCCTACCAGCCACTGATGTACATATAATCAATGCATCCCAGCGGATACATCTCAACATCTTCATCACCATTTAAATACAATCAATATTGTTTGAACATTCTTGAATGTATGAATCTTGCAGTCAATGCCATAACATAGGCAACACAGAGAGCATCAATATTTTGTCAATATGATACAGCATGTACCAGCCGAAACAAACCAATATACAGCCTGAGCATAGTAAAGTGTAGCTGGAATTGGCACACTGAAGTATACTATAAAAGACGAAAGAAAACACATGTTTACCCACTCGACATGAACTGGAAGCTAGATTCTCAGAATATACATATATTTCATGAAGCTTCATAAACTAAGCCTCACTGAGATGAGGTCCTTTCATGCTTCATCAATTGAAAATTCTTATTTACCAAGATCACAAAGCAAGATAATCAGGCTTATTTTTATCAAGATGAAGCTGGTCTGAAATCAGAATGGAACATTATTTTCGTAATTATATACGTACTTTTGTAAGTTTAGGTAGTATTTAGAGGATCTAATGCTCTTTACACTAATTTAATTGTTCCAAGACACACAAAAATACATTTTTCGAAATAAACTTGTTGCTTTCGGGCCTTAGCGCACAACATGTGATTCCAGTATGATATATAGTAAAAATCTCAAAGAGGGTAACACCATCATTAAGGTTTTGCAAGTATAAGGATTAGGGAGGGTCAACCTACACATTATTACCCCCACAAGTGAAAAGATTATTTTCGTGATTTGAAGCTTAGTTGCCCAAGTCATAAAGAAGCCACATTACCATGACATTAAAGCTCATCCTTTCGGATAAAGTACAAAACAAAAACAAAAACAGTATCCCCAAAGACGAGAGAAAGTGTTTAAACTTGGAGTCTACCACCTGTAGTGGGAAATTAAGCCTTGAAAAACGTTCTTTTAGTTTCAACAGGAGGGCTAACTTCTGCAAAGATTAATTATTTTTCAAAATACCAACCATGATTGAAAACTGGAATCTAGGTCGGACAAAAACCAGAACATCAAAGAAAAGGAATCCTATAATTCTGTTAAGTGTTGTGCTAGGGAACTGATCCAAACAGGAGGATATAAGTATAATAACCTGTAATGTGAACAATCTGTCATCCATCTGGACTTCTTTGGTCAAGAAATCAGCTCCAATCGTCGCCTTATACTGGTTGCTGAACTTCTTGTTCACATACCTACCCAATAACAATTCAGCCCCAACTCGCCCACAACAACAAATCAATCATAACCAAAACAAAAAAAAACAAAAAAACAAAAGCTGAAGGGGCAGTAGCGTACTGATTCATCAGAGATGTCTTCCCAACCCTATCAACAAACGCAATTACAACTGAGCAAAGATCCAAAAACACAGGCAAAAGGAACTCTTTTTCTTTACTCGGAAACGGGATAGAAATCTCACCCGCTGTCCCCGAGGATGATGACTTTGAGAAGCATTCGCCTTCGAGACGCCATGGATTCGAGCCCCGAAGCGATCCCGACACGAATCGAACTCCTCGAGGCCTGGCGATCTACGATTTGGTGTTTTCGCACCACGAGGTCGTGCCCTAGAATTTTCTGCCCCGCCTCAGGAGACGGGACATCTAATATATAACAAAGGAGAACTTAAGTAACGACATCGGTTACGACAGACGGACGTCGCGCGCTGGTGGATGGGTGTGACGTACGTGAAGTAAGTTGTGCCGTCAGTCGCAACGCGAGCAACTCTTCTCGTTGTAGCCAAGAGATAGAAGGGGATTAAAATAGAGATTGCAGACGGATCATTGAAAGCTGGATGGGGATATCCGATGATTATAATATTGGTGATGATTTCGTTAATGATGTGAGGTTGACGATGATGGCTAATTATGACTCGGGCATTCAAACTTCACGCCCGACCCGAATAACTTCACTTTGTTATTCGGATCCATTTCAAATTTGATAAAACAATACTGTAATTTATGCTTATATCAATGAATTCAGCATATCAGATGGAGCTTACAAATCGATATGTTATTGATATTTATTTTTATTATTATTTAAAGCAATTATATGGCCTGATATATCGAGATACAATATAAGTCATTCATGATTATTCATTCGATCTAACTGGTTATTTGCCGTAAAATGAATCGGTTACTTCATCATTATTCGATCAAAACTTACAAACATATACCGAAAAGAATCTGTAAAAAAAAAATTCAGAAACTATAGTTAAATGACGAACATCATATCATCCATCTCTTTTGCTTTGCTTTACATTTGAATCAACTGCAAAGGTTCCTCACAAGCTGCTACCGTAAGTCATAACCATGGTGGCCTTTCTTTCTTCCCCATCTCCGTTTCCTGTGTGTGTTGATCTTCACCACTCGATGCTGACGGATTCGTCGGTGCATTGTACTCGCTGCTGGCATATTCCTGTGCCATCAACGCCATTTTTCTGAACTTCTTCATAACCTCGTTATACCGCCCAGAATCAGAGCCCGAGCTGTCATACGAACTGTACAACCTGCTGTGACCTGGTCTGATGCCCTTGTTCAAATCTTCGAGAGACACATCTCCTTCTAAGGCACGGACGATCTGCTCGGTTTCGATCATTAGTTTAGTGTCAACATTCATAGTACAATGAAGGCTGATATGAGTTCAATATTTGGATTTAAAGAAAGCAAACAAGATATAGATGCAAGCTACCAAAAAAGGCATTTCATTTACCAGTGTCCCAAGTTTGGTAGGAAATAATCACTTCAAAATCATGAAACCAACGATACAACAGAATAAACATTTTGAGGAAATGACAATAATTATTTAACGGCTAAAGAAGAAAGACATAGAGACAGTACCTGACCCATCCTTGGCCGTCGCCGTGCTAAGTGACGCAAACATGCAGCTGCACAGGCAATCATGTGAGCCATCTCATTAGGGTTAAAATTCTCACCCAACTTTGGATCAACAAGGGCATCGTAGTTGCCATCCTCAAGAGCTCGTGCAAGCAACGGCCTTGCCTGAAGTTACAAGAAAATTTAAGAGTCAAGTGTGAAAGGTAAGCAGAAGAAGAAAATGGTTGATACAAAATACTAACCCAGTCAACTAAGCTATCATCCATGAAAGATTGGGATGAATCAACAGGTCGCCGTCCGGTGATTAGCTCCAGAAGCATGACACCAAATGAAAAGACATCTGATCTGTCAGTGAGTTTGCCCGAAGATGCATATTCAGGTGCCAGGTAACTGCAAAAAAAAAATCAGAGGCTACAGGTTAAACTAAAGGGACAAAGAAATCAAGAGCATGAAAACCTCACTCGATACCAGGAATTCAAAAAACTACAATTTTGGAATATAATCAAAGGAACATCCTTAATCATAGTGCAAACACTAACACATGAACTGAACACCCAAACCATCACAAAGTAAGTTCCTAGAAGGATAATCCATTGAGTCTACTCAACAAACTAGTTCAGGCCAAGGCAAAATGTAACAAGAACTGAAGCTTACCCAAATGTTCCCATAACTCTTGTTGAAACATGGGTTTTATTATCAGAAGCAAACTTTGCAAGCCCAAAATCTGCGACCTGCAAAATCAGAACATACATTTGAATCAATCAAATACAGTTATAAATAAATTAGCAAGCAGTTAACAGAAAACTACCATGCAAAATAAATGCTGGTTGATTAGGATGGATTCAGCCAAAAGCATGATTGACATCTAAAGGCTGGCAAAAGAGGGTAAAAACAGCCAGCTATTTCTTCTTTTTACTCAAATAGATTCTCACCTAATGGCATGAAGAAATGTTCGGGAGATTTCTTATTATATTAAGGCATCATTTGCTGAAGGAAACAATAAATAAAACATCAAGCTGAAATTTCAAAAAAGGGTACGACTCACATGGAACAAAAAAACTATTAGTGGACATTGCCTTGACTTAAAGAGTCAAAGGATGTGAAAATATTAGCATGGTCACAATGCTCCTAAAATTCATTAGATGAAGTCTTTGTCTGATGATACCGTGCGAGTCAGTTGCACAAAGCGAGATGTCATCCCTCTTTGATTACCTAGAGTCTTAGTTGTTTCATTTTAATACAATGCATATTACATGGATTGCCAGCTTGACTGTCATTATTTTCGTCAAATTGAATATTTCATCCGAACAAAGGCCAATCAATTCTGATCAAGCTCAGATCACATGTCTGCACCATTTGGATTTTTAGTCTTAGTCTGGGCAGACAAACACCAAATTACAAACTGATGCAATAAACCAGGTTTCAAGTGATTAAGCACACAAGATTGGATGAGTGTTTTATGTAAATTGTGATCAACTACAAGAGATGTTTGCTTACCTTTGGCACAAACTTATAATCAAGAAGGATGTTGGCTGACTTAATGTCACGGTGAATAATTTTAGGGTGGCCTGCAAATGAAAATACTCCTTATTAGGACCAAAACCAATCAACTTCAGTTATGGGAATCAACATGATAATAAAACATTTAAAAATGACAAGGCATAAAATACAAGAAACAACTCACAGTCCTCATGAAGATATGCTAGACCCTTTGCAGAACCTAATGCAATTTTCAATCGTGTTGGCCATTCCATAGTTGGTCTACCTCTCCCTAAGAAATAAACTATATCAGACAAAAGGACATAGGAAACAGAATAGTACCCAAGAAAAACCTTGAAGCAAGAATTAGAACACAAGTTAAAAGAAAGCGAAGTGCCAGAAAATGAATGTGGAATTAGGCAATATAAACTTGGAGCTTAGAACAATGACATAAAGGCTTACCATGCAAATGGAACTCCAATGTATTATTAGGCACATATTCATAAACAAGCAGCCTCTTGCCTCCAGAAATACAGTATCCAACCAACGAAACGAGATGCTTGTGATGAACACGAGTAATAATCTCGACCTCTGCATGGAATTCACGCTCACCCTGTCCGCTACCTGTTTTCAATTGCTTGACCGCGACTTCATTGCCATTTGGAAGTACTCCTCTATGCACATAACCGAAACCACCCTGTCCGAGAAGATTAGCATCAGAGAACCCATCTGTTGCCAGAGCCAGTTCTTCATAAGTGAAGGTGCCTTTTGAGACGCCAAGGGCAACGCCGGGAGGTGGTGGGGGCAGTGGAGCCTCAGACCCAGAGTAATTGGACCCAGAACCACCGCTGCTACTTATCATAGGTGGAGGAGGTGGAGGGGGCAAATGGCCTGGAGAGTGCGGAGGGCGCGAAGCGAATGGTGGAGGAGGTCCTGGGGGTAGTTTGACAGCATGATCTGCTGGAAGCGGAGCATTATGTTGCCAATACTCGCCGTACCGCTCATCTGAAAACACCCCCACATTCAGCTGATTAGAGATCTTTTGTCGAAAATTCCAATTAAAAGGATAAACAACCTCACATTTAAATCAATGCCTAAAAGAAATAGTAAGGGACGCAACCATAACAATTTTGTTTAGAGTCTCAACGGAAACGAAAGATGCAGCAAGCCAACACTCGTACAATGCATATCTTGGTTGCAAAACTAGACAAGAATCGAAGTGTTCAAGACTCCTTTTTGTTAGGGTTGACAGATCTAAGTTTCAGAAAGGCGAAAACAAGAAAAAAAAAACATTTTTTTCCTCTTAGTTACCAAATAATAAATAGATCTAACCTTTTCTTCCCGGTGGAGGCGGTGAGGGAGCTCCGTAGTAATGTGGCAGCGGCGGCGGCGGCTGGCGCTTCTTTTTCCAACAACAGACGCACATAAAGCTGAGCAGCAGGAGGAACGCCACCCCGCCCACGGCTACCCCAACGACAAGCGGAGTCGAGATAGAGCTCGACGACGACGACGGGGGCCGCGGCGGAGACCGGGTAGACGGAGTCTTGGGTGGCGGAGGATAAGGCGGGGAGGGCGACGATCGCCCTGAGTGAGGCGGCGGGGGCGAGGCGGATGGGATCGCCGGTGGGGGAGGAGGGGAGCCGGAAGCGCTGGAGGGAGGCGGCGAGGCCGAAGGAGGGGATGGAGAGGGAGGAGGCGAGGAGGGCGGGGTGGCGAGTGGCGGTGGGGAGGTCGGAGGCGGCGCGGCGGAAGCGGACGGAGAAGGCGCGGAGGGGGTGGCCGACGGAGAGGAACCTGGCGGGGTTGAAGGGGAGGAGGTCGGCGGCGGGGTCGACATGGCCGGCAAGTACCGTGGTTGGTTTCTCCTCCTCCTCCATTAAGAAAGGAGTGAAAGAGAAGGTGGCATTGTAGGTAATTTTTGGACATCACGCCGCTGCCGGCCCGCTTTCCTTCTGGGGAACGCCGAGGGAGGAGCGGCACAGGCATAAACCTCCGTTGGGGCCCGCTCGTGAGGGGCCACGACACCCATGCAACCCTTCACAGCTGATTCAGTCAACACGGAGCGGTGAAGAAGTACAAAATTTCTTTTGGGGTCCACTCGTGAGAGGACACGTCACCCGTGAAACCCCTCTGAGCTGATTCAGTCAACACGGAGCGGCGAAGAGAGAGTCTCCGCGGCCGACGCGGTCCGCAGCATTCCCTTAATCTCTTCATTAATGCCGGAGATTGCGAAGCAGGCGGACCTTAAACACGCTAATATCTCACTCACTCTGTGCTGTTCCTTTGCCTTCTAAATCCAAGATTTCTTACATCGTCAATCCACCTTAAATATTGTTTTGATGTGGTCAATATATTCATTCATTTACAATCTTGTTCAAATGAATTGTCACAGTAGTCTACAAGAAAGAAGATAGACGGAGATGGCAGCAATGGAAGAGTTTTCTTTGTCTCTGAAGCAAAGAGGTGAGAAACAGCTACGCAACACCAGAACAGATGTTGAGTTACCAACTAAGGACAACTCTGAAGAAACAGAGAAGAAAACTGCCACTAATGCTCCTCTGTTCACCAGTTCATATTTTGAATTGGTATGGACAAGCATCATTTGACTTGAAGAAGCTTTCACATCATTTTTTGTGGATACTTTTAATCATCACCTTCTCATAAGTGTCAAGAACAAAGCCACCTATAATTTCATTTTCGACAAAATGCCAGTGTGCCGGGACACAGTATTACAGAATTCAATGGCATAACAGTGAAACATGAAATATGATCAATATATTCCATCCCAACATTGCAAATTGAATCTTCAATAAGCATACTTCATTTCAAAAAAATGATAATTTTCGATAGGAGAAAGTCAATACATGCAGTATATTTATGACAATTTTCATTTTTTCGACGATCATAGAAGAGCAGCCTTACTGTAATTCCAGGATTCGCCGCTATCAACGTGGATATTTCTGCTACTCAAAATGTTTTGGTTGGCAATATATTCAATTTAAAGTTCAATATATTGTCATAGACTTTTTTGCATCATTTGTTCTTGGTTTACCATTTAAGCAGCTAGTCAGTTGGGGTTTTGAGAGTCTTCTATAGATGATTTCAGAATCTGCAAGTTATGAGGAAAAGGCAACACATCAAAGATTCTTACAAAGAAAAAAAAGATAATAGTACAACTAGTTTTATAAAGCACAAATATATCATTTGTTAATGAAGCTTATGCACACTAGCAATTTGATTTGTCCTTAATCTATGGTTGGCTCCTGAAACAAAACCTGGCTATCAAGTTTAGGGTAACATATCTTGTTCTTTACTTTCACTTTATGACAATTTCCATTTTTAAGATGATGTTAGAGGAGAAATCTTACTGTAACACAAGATTTGCTGCCATCAACATGGATACTGTTGCTACTCAAAATCTTTTGGTTGGGAATATATTCAGTTTAAAATTCATACTAAAAATTCAATTGAGGAACAGGAAAACCCCAAAATATTGTCATAAAGACCTCTTCACAGACCTTAGTTTACAATTTAAACAGCTACTCAATTGCGGTTGGAGTCTTCTATGGATGATTTCAGAATCTGCAAGTTAACAATGAAAGTCAACATTTCAAAGATTCTTACAATGAAAAAAGATAATATTACAAACTTTTTTTTTCTGAAGCACAAATATATCATTTGTTAATGAATCTTATACACACAATGGAAGTTTCATATTAAACATTAGGAGATAGCAATTTGATTTTTCCTTAATCTATGGTTGGCTCCTGAAACAAAACCTGGCTATCAAGCTTAGGATAGCTCATCTTCTGCTTACTTTCTGTGTCATGCATATCTGATCCTGTAATAGCTACTATGGATGGATAGAAAGACTGCTTACTTCATGATACAAAATATTTGCTGATAACATCGAAGGTTGAACTTGAATGGTATACTCTCCAAGCGAAATAAGTCCTTCCAAGGCCCGGACAATCTGTTCAAAATTTATTTATATATATATATATATAGAGAGAGAGAGAGAGAGAGAGAGAGATGATTGCGATGGTCAAAAATACATGAGTGAAGGCATGACTAATCAATTATGAACATTTAGTGAAAAAGGATGAAACCAAAGCATGCACAATGTCTCCTAATGGAGGAAGATCAACTTGCTTAAACCTAAGTTCACCCACATTATGTTCAGAGAAAAATAAAAAAAAAATCAAATTCTGGAAATAAAGGAACATTGGTTCATGATTGGAATCATCACAACTTTGCTCTAAAAATATTCTTTTAAACCTTGTCAAACTTCTACTTTCTTTATGATATTGGATCGAATGATGTGTAAATTTCAGTAGCTAAATTCGGACATGGAAGAGCAAAACTTATTCAGATGTCAGTGATTTGGGAGATCAGAAGTACCAAATAAAGATGATGAGTAAGAAGAAGAAAATTAACAGTACATGCTCTATCATTATGAACAATGGAATATGGTGAGTAAAGCTTAAGCAAATTACTTGACTCATGCTTGGCCGAAGAGATGCTGAGTGGCACAAACAGGCATAGGCACAAGCAACCATTCTCCCAAGCTCAATAGGATTGTAGTAGCTCTCCAAAAATGGATCCACAAGGACATCATATTTGCCATCTTCCAGTGCTTGCTTCAATAATGGTCTTGCCTGTAACAACATATCAAATGCCATCCTCATTTGCCTCAAAAAAGCATTATGATGTATGCGATGAAAACAAAACAAAGATCTGGAGGCTGATTAATGAAGGAAAAGATTGTTTTTTTGTCAGAGCTGAGCAGAAAACAAATCTGATAATTGACTGACCCAATCAGCCAGATGTACAGGCCTTCGCCCAGTGATGAGCTCCAAGAGCAACACTCCATAAGAGAAAACATCAGATTTATCTGTGAGTTTTCCACTAGAAACATATTCTGGAGACAGGTATCTGTCATGACATGAGGAGATTGTTTGAGAGTGGAAGATGTTGGTTTAATTCTATGAAGAGATAGAAGTGAATTGTATGATAATAACATTTACCCATGAGTGCCCTTCACAACAGTAGAAATATGTGTCTTCTCATCTGAAAAATGCTTTGCAATCCCAAAATCTGCAATCTGCACAACACCAATATCTTGTCAGTCCTTATTTACTCTCTTCAATCAGTTGCAGACTCAGTAGAAATATTCTACATGTCCCAAAAGTTGCTTTTTCCTTCTTGATATTGTGGCAAACTAATTCATCCGAGGGCAGAAAACAACTGGAACCAATCATATAGTGTTGGTTGATCTACCTTTGCTCTAAAAGAGTGATCCAGAAGAATATTGGCTGCCTTAATGTCACGGTGAATGACCCGTGGTTGGCCTGCAAAATTATTACAGCTGAAAAGTGTTAGCTATACAAGCATCATGGCCGATGACAAATGCAAATTGAAGTAAATTAGGAAGATATTTCAAGTTTCGAAAGCGTAAGGAAACAAATGCAAAGCTTACAGTCTTCATGCAAATATGCCAGGCCTTTTGCAGAGTCCAAGGCAATTCTAAATCTGTCCTTCCAAGCCAAGGTAGGTTGCTCTCTGTCTATAAAATGTCAAAGCTGATTAGATTGAAACCTCCCGATCTTCCGTTACGACATGTAGATTAAAACAGAGGAAAGTAAAGGCAGTTTGCTTCTAGAATTGGTGTAGTATAAGGAATTTGTAGAACAAAGGCATCATATAAGATTCAGCAGAATCTAATTATATGCCATACATATAATTCAAGCAATCAGTTCAATCTATGCTTGTCGATTGCATGTATGCATTGCTTATCTTATCAACTTTCTGGATGTGTATTCATACTACAATAACATAGAAGAATTGCTAGTGATCATGAATGTTGTGCAAGGTAAGTGAGCATGTACCATGTAGATGGAACTTCAAGGTCTTGTTGGGGACATATTCACAAACCAGTAGCCAATTGCCTTCAGAAATGCAGCATCCAATCAGTGAAACAAGATGCCTGTGGTGCACAAGACTCAGTATGTCAGCCTCTTTCATGAATTCAACATCGGTCTGCTTGCTAGTAGTATCTTTCAATCGCTTGATTGCTGCTTCTGTGCCATTAGAAAGGGTCCCTTTGTACACATGAGAAAAACCACCTTCTCCCAGCAGATTAACTGCGGAGAAGTTGTTCGTCGCAATCACCAACTCTTGATACGTGAAGCTTCTCTTGGTTAAGCCAGCCGAAACAGTAAGTGATTTGGGTGACGACGAATTCTTTGAGCCGATGGTGGTGATTGGTAAAGGAGGTGATAGTTGTGGTGCCATTCTGACAACATCATCTTGGGGAGGGTAATGGTGTTGGTAATCCTGCCTGTTTTCTATGACTGGTTCTGATGCTGCCAAGAAGGAGAAGAGGTGCAAATTATATTCTGGAGACAAAACAGAGTAGAGATAAAACATGCACATCACCCTGCGAAGTTTGCAAGATTGAATTGTGGTTCTTGTGCAAACATTTCATAATGGCATGGATAAAACTTGATCCGGGCACACCAGAGAGCCCAAATGTCACTGCAGGATTCTCCTGACAAGAATCTTGACATCTCTTTCTGAGATCCTTGCAGGAGCACTTAGCAATATGTTGTGCCTTTCACTTGATCTTTTCTAAGAAGCTTATACAGCTTGTATCTGACATTTTTTATGTCGTTTATTCCAATCTATCCCCAATCTGAGGAAGAAGACTGGAATCAGGGAATCTAACTCAAAGAAAGAAAACATCAAGAACATGAACAACATGGGGGGAAGCTAATTACACCACAACGGATCGCAGGTGATCCAGCCTACGACATAAAGATGGATAGTGGCGAGAATCTTCACCACCTCCCTCATCTTGTGGTACGGACAGCAGCACGAGGAGCAGCAAGACAGTGTCCACCTGCCATGGTTTAGCAGTCAACAAAAGGATTTGGTCTGGCGATCGAACTATATATAGACCGGACAAGGAAGAAGGCCTTACGCCAAGGGCATGAAGATGAAGGTGAACACAGTGATGAACATGGTGATGACCACTGAAGCCAAAGCAAACGGCAGGCCCAAGAAGAATCCCATGCACCGCAGCCAGTTATGCATCTTTCTACTATGTCTCTTCTCCACTCCAAGTCGCTGCCAACTACAACTTCTTTCCTCTCTTCTATGTTCCTGCACACACACACACACACACACATATATATATATATATATATATATATATGCATGAATCTGATACTATGTGATATATATACAGATAGAATGCACCGGTAAGATACTCTAAATTAAAAATTCAAAACAGGAGAGGAAATTTATTTTGCCATGCCAAAGAAGAAAAACTAATAGATTTTTTGAAAGGATAAAAATAGATCTATGTTTATATTTTTATTATTTTTTATAAAATCATTTAGTCTCACGTTGATAGAGAAGTATGAGAACCAAAAGCTCATAAGTTCGTCAGGTCTCCCTTACTCTCACGGTGTATAATTTTTTTGGAGCTCACATAGATCATTATGGATGATGTCACTTCTCTATAAATAAATTTTGGATCCTAATATAATTTATCTATACCATTGAATTATAGTGAATCAAACAGATTGACCAATTCATCCTATTTTGATCCTATCAATATACGCTTTGTTCTTGTCATTTGAATTAATATATTTCAAAAATACAACCCTATTTTGACTTTATATGATAATTTCAATATGACTTGTTCAATGATATGATCGTGATGTGATCGAATGAAATGTACACTTATATTAATTTAATTTGGTGTCATTATCATTAATCTTATAGTAGACATAAGTAATTGAGCATATTTCTTTTTTTAGTGGTTTGGAAGTCAAAACAAAAATTAGGTGGGAGGGAGAATATGATACTCCCTTATTTAGAATGGTTTGAATAGACCAAAACCTTATTCTAATTTGTCTACATTGACTTTCAAGTAATGAATTTATAATATAATTTAGTATTTATACATATAATAATAATGACTAAATGGTGTTTATTCTTGAATAAAAAATATCATGAATGCTTGTTTACTTGTGTGATTAACATTTAATTAATATTTAGATGAACAGAACTTTGATATCTCATGCATGCCTCTTAGTACTTGCAAGTGCCCAAAAAGAAGTTGTGTTCACATCATGTTTAGTGAAGAAACAATTGCAATATGAAATACCCAATTGGGAACATTCAACACTTTCTACAACATTGATGCCGATGATATCTCATGACAATTGATCGGCGAGCTATCAGTTGGTCAATTATGCAATAGTATGAAGGCTCAGACTTAAGTGGTTTATCAATCCGAATAAGTATTTCTTAAAATAATTTATTATTATTTTTAGACAGTAAAAATCAGGATAAGCAAGTCTTTTTTTTATTTTTGAATATAATAAAGTGTTATTTACTTTGCTTTAAGGATGATTCATGTATGATTGCTGTAATCATGAATTATTATTTTAATTATAAATTAATGATAAAAAATTATGATCAAACTCAAACTAGTATAACTTAGTGGTTATTCGGTGAATCATCCTATCTCTGGATTGGTGAGTGTGACGTAATATCAATTATAAACATAAAACACAATGTTGAATAAAAGTGGTTTGTCCAAGCTTATATTTTTTTTATAAAGAATAAATGACAAAGATGAGATTTCAACTCAAGATTTTATGATAAATTATTATTATTTTTACTAGTTAAACTAGTTAATACCTTCAAAAAATACGTTCGATAAGGAATCGAATTTTTATTTTTTGGTACTTGAATCTAGTATACCACTATTAGACCGATGTTTTAGGTATAAAAATATATCAAAAGAGATTTCAAATCCTCAATCTTTCCTGAGCTTATATTTAGCGCTAGAGAGAGGAGATTCTCAAAGATTTCATGAGTTGAATCAGAAGTTAACTAGCACAAAAAAAATATCCAATTAGAAGGAAAATGGTAGAGTCAAGTGCCTTCACGTATATTTAGTATAAGTGGAAGATTTTTTCTATCAAGATGACTTTCCAAGAACTTATATAGTATTTATATTAGGAGTTTCTAAAACTCATCATGCTACCCTAAGACTATTGCCTCAGTGGAAAAATATCAGGGATAATAGTTGATTGTCTTTCTATCGGGTACTAGAATCGAGAGGGTATGAGTTTCATCATAAATGCTTGTATAAGGATCAAAGAGTAGGCAACGGTGATCCCTCAGGCTTCATTTGTAAATATGAAAATAAAGACGGCTAGTGGCTTACTATTCATTTGTCGGATTGGTAGGAGAGTAGTGATCGTGCGCTTCAAGTAAATACTCCAAAAAAAAGTTATTGTTCCAACTCTCTTACCAGTTAAGAGAAGGAGCTCACTAAGAGCTATTTAAGACGGGTATAATACTCTTGGGTTATATCCTTCGATATAGTAAGAAAAATATAATACATTAGAGCATCTAACATGTCGTACAATGTTATTCGAGCATAAAAAGCCGTCATATACTTCGTGAGATCCTCACCTCCATCAAACATCTGACAATCAAAAATTTTGGTAGGATTAACTCCTTTTGAATCTTATGGATGAACAAGAATTCGATGAAGATGGAGTTTATTAAGTCTTCCTTTTTCACCATGTGAAACTATCTATGCTTAGGCATCAATTCATCGACCATAGTTGTACGGTGTAATCATAGAGTCCACAATAATAAGTACTAAAAATTATCAAATGTCTTGTTTACCGACTTGGCCGATCTCCTTCTATAGATGTACATATACATATTTTTTTTATCTTGCTTCATTCTAATAAGTTAGATGTTGGTTCTTCGTGTTCCTGAAATAACAAAATGGCACGAGGCCCAATATATTATAGTACAAATCAATAATCTTATTTTGCCATCAACACAACCTCAAGCTATCGTTTATCCACTACAACATGAATTAACTGTTTGATTTGATATAGCCACAACTACAAGTGCACAATCATGTGTTTTAATTTTAATATACTTCTTTAACTCAAACAAATACTGTCAATTATGGTTCCAAGTTGTTAATTTGGGTTTTTGGGACATTATTGATATGCATACACATGTAGACATGTATATGTCGCACTAAATTAGCCCACCGGATGGGTCAAAATTAGCCGATGAAACGTGCCCGCATTAATTGCGGTCAACAGTCAACGATGAACAAGATCAGAGCCACGCCGAACCAAAAATGAATTCGCTGGCATTTTTCATATTCTTTTAACGTACTCAAATTCATACCTTTTTGGCAATCGTGTGCTCTGTGGGACCAAAGGTTTCTCTCGGGCAAAAGATTAGGCGGGTGAACTGCTTTCGGTCACAGGACTCCTCAAAGAATACCATCATACGATACCCCCGTGTGGGCGACAGGTTAGCCACGCGTGTGATATGTGCTTCCTACATTATTTTTCGCGTACTCAGTCTCGTACCCGTCACGTGATTGGGTATTTCAGTGGGACCAACAGTTCTCTGCGGCACATCCGGACCCGTTGAATGCTTGGAGAATAAATACCATCGTATAATGCGCATTGTACGGTCGACAAGTAAGCTTTCGTACACAATCTCGTACCTGTGTCTCTGTTGGGAGAAGCAGTGGGCCACAGAGTTTTGTCCGGTGGTATGTGAGGCGGGTGAATGTTTGGGTGGGATCACATATCATTGGCTCCTGTCCGTCACATTCCTCCTCATATGGAGCCGGATCCGGTGAAACTTTTCGAATACATGTTATCATACAATAACCTCTGTATGGCCGACGAATATGACACGCGCCCACTATGATTTCCCCTAGCCACGCGGCGGGTTTCCATTGGAAAATTCCCTCACGTTCCGGAGAAGGGAAATCTGCCCGTCTCGCCATCCCCATCTCAGAGAGATTTGAAATCGATCTCACGCCACCGTCCGATTCATTTGCTCTTGGTCAGTGTCCGCTCCGTTGCCGCGTCTCTCTCGCTCGCGTATTCGTCGTCTACCGGGGGGAAGATGAGCGGCGCTGCCATGGGAGGGAGGCAGATGGGTCGAACGGGCAAAAGCCACTGCCAGCGTCGGTACTCGTCGGATCAGGTGGTCGGCTCCCTTTCGATTGCCAAGTGGATCGATTTTGATTTATTTCTCCTATTTCCCCCCACCACCAAATATTCGATCTTTTTCCCGGTGTCGGTGGTGGTGGTGTAGGTGGAGTATTCTAGGTTGTTGAGCATGCAAAGGGCAATTAGCGGGGAGTTCCCGGTGCCGGTTGAGCCGCCGGCGCGGCGCTTAAGTTCGCAGTCGTCCAGCCAGAGGCAACACCGGGAGGACGTGTACTTAAACGGGCATAGCCCGGGGCTTTTGGATCTCCACTCGATTGGCACTGAACTTCTCCCTCAGGCAATGCCTCGCTCCTGTTTCACTTCTCATAGTAGTGGATGATCCTAATTTGCAATCATAGTATTGAATGTTTGCTTCATTATCAGCTGGATGTTCGGGTGAGACGATTAACTTCACGGTTGTAAGTGCTAAGTGGCCATAAAAGGTGTCATTTCGGGGAATCTATACGTATTCCTCATTTTTACTGGAATGTGGTAATCTGAAACCTTTGACAAATTCAGAGTAGCCCATATGAACATACTGTAATAAGTTAGCATTCTCCTTATGTTTTCTCTATCTTTTAGATGTTTATTGGAATATGGGTTTTGACACAATTTAAGTAGAATAGTTCATTAGCTCACAAAAAAAAAAAGATTTTTAATAGTTGCATTTGTCAGTACATTTTTAGGTTTAAATCTTGAAACTGCTTGTGACGTTGTTGGCAGATGGAAATTGCTGAATTATTACCTTCAAGTAGGAATCCTTTACCATTGCAGAACAATCTTATGAAAAGTCTTTCGGCTGATAAAGAGAAGATGAGTTCTGTAGCCAAAATCAAAGTAGTGGTATGCTCTTCTGTCATGTGCTTGTGCACTATTGAGATATTTTTGTCCAGTTATTCACAATTCTAAAGTGTTTTGCTGCTCGACAATATGTTTTTCTTTTATCAATTCCTTTGAATTTTAACTGAGGCTTTACACTTTGGTTCTTTTGATTTATCGTTCTTTCTATCATTGGCTCTGGTATATGTGAAAGACATCTAACACTTGTATGAGTTTTAAAAGTATCAATCAATTATGGCAGGTAAGAAAGAGGCCACTGAACAAAAAGGAAATAGCAAAGAAAGAGGAAGACATTATCACAATTGATTCAGGTTCCAGTTCTCTGACAGTTCATGAGATGAAACTCAAGGCAAGTTTAGTATAAATTGCTCATAGCTTGACGGAAACTTTTGTTATTATACTAACATGCGCTGGTCCTCTGACCTGTAAATCTTCTCTTTTTATGATTTCATGCTCTTGCTTATTCCTTTACCATGTTTTAGTTTACTCGTGTGTGAACTATCTGGTCTTGTTCCACATTTTCCATTTATCGTGGATGTAATTGTGTGTTTGAAATGCTCTTTTTGTCTATCATTAATGCTTTATTATCCATCATCTTTGCCCATTATAAAGCGAAAAGACAAGCCAAAATGAAATAAAAGATTCTGCTAACAGTCAACAAGTTCCTGCTAGTAAATGAAACTTAAGTTTACATCACCAAATTCTAGGTCAAGAAAGTGCAAAATTCATGCTTCATAATGTTAGAAAAATACTAACTTAAAGTTTCAAACTTAGTATAATCTGACGTATTGCCTGAAGATCCTGAAAAGTCAATATAGTGCATCGTATTGAAATCTTCATAAGCAAGCTTCTAACTTGGAATTTTATGCGTAACTGTTTAATCCAAGTGCAACAAGAGGAACTCTATTCACAGACGCTGGATCATTACCATTATATGAGTCACACAATCTTCATGTTCCCCTGAAGGTCATAAACTTGCGGAATGATGCAAGGGACTTTCCTTGGATGGATGAACTTAGTAACATTCTCTTATTTATGTTGGCTTGCAAGTATTCTGCTCCATGAGAAAATTGAGAAATTGCATTATCAAATAAAGCTGTGCTTTGCTTCTTCTGATTTCATTTTCTTTTCTGTTCTATTTTTCATCCCTTAGGTTGACCTCACAGAGTACCTTGAGAAGCATGAATTTGTGTTTGATGCTGTGCTGGATGAAGATGTCTCAAATGATGAAGTGAGTGGCAATAAAAGAAAGAATATCTAATTGCTCAGGCTGGTAAATTCTTCACCATTGCAGACTTTCTATATATATTCTAGGTATATCGGGAAACTGTGGAGCCGATTGTTCCTGCTATATTCCAGTGTACAAAAGCAACTTGCTTTGCCTATGGTCAAACAGGCAAGTACAGGTGTCTATGAATATTTTTTTATGATGTACAGTAACTAGAGAGTAAAAAAATAATGTTGAAATTTCAGGTCTTCCTCTACCATTGTCTTTGACCCAGCTAAATGCATAGATAATTGGGATTGCTACAGTAGTTTACCTGATATAGTAAGCACCTTTTTTCATAGTGATTTAACACATATCATGACTGAGAAAGGCAAACCATACCCTCCACTTACATGATCCAAGCTAGTGGTATATATGTTATTTTTTTACCTTGACCTACTTAAGAAGCAAGAACAACTTATATCTTTTTATCGAAGGTCTGAAGGCACATATTCTCCTGTACTTCTCAGTCATCTTGACTCTTCACAAGTTACATCCTTCCAAAAGTTATGACCAACCAAAGTTGGCAATAGTATTTGCCAGGTAAAAAAATGTAGATATGTCTTGTAATACTGTATTACACCTGCTTTCCTATCCTTAAAAAATGTTCAATTATCTCACTTATTTTGTATTACACCTGCTATTTAAGATATAGGCTGAGTTGTTTTCATTAGGTCAATAATCGTTCACCTTGTTTAAAATTCTTATTGTAGCTTGAATTTGTTAGTATTCTGCTATCAAAGTTTGGTGTGCCATTGGTGGAGGTGTCAGTTCAGCTGTTACACTTTTGTCATGAAGTCTTTTAAAGTTTGAATTTCATTTATTTGGTGTATGTTTGTACTGATGCACAGCCATGCTACAAGTTCCGAAGTCTGCTTTCACAATTAACCAGCTTCACTTGGTTGTTCTGAACTCTTTTCTTATTGTTTCAGGTAGTGGAAAGACATACACTATGCAACCATTGCCACTCAAAGCATGTCAAGATATTCTGAGACTAATGCATCACACATACAGATATCAAGGTTTTCAACTGTATGTGAGTTTCTTTGAGATATATGGAGGAAAACTCTTTGATTTACTAAATGATCGGAGGTTTGCCAATGTTTTTTAATTTGTTTCATGCAGATATTATGCCTTTTCTAAGATCCCCTCAACATTAATGAGTTGTCATATCCAGGAAACTTTGCATGAGAGAGGATGGTAAACAACAAGTTTGCATTGTGGGTTTGCAAGAGTTTAGAGTATCAAATGTTGATAGCATCAGGGAACTCATTGAAAAAGGGAATGCAACGAGAAGTACAGGCACAACTGGTGCAAATGAGGAGTCATCACGTTCTCATGCTATACTTCAGCTAGCTATTAAGAGGTCAGTAGTTGGTAGGGAATCAAAACCAGCTCGAATAGTTGGCAAGCTCTCTTTCATAGACCTTGCTGGAAGCGAAAGAGGTGCCGATACTACTGACAATGATAAGCAAACAAGGTATTTTCTTTTTGCTATCTCAGGTGAAAGTGAAGTACCAAGTATGAACTACTTTCACCAGTGTGATTTTCTTTGAAGGATTGAAGGTGCTGAGATCAACAAAAGTTTGCTTGCTTTAAAGGAATGCATTAGAGCACTTGACAACGATCAGGTTCACATTCCATTCAGAGGGAGTAAACTGACCGAAGTTCTCAGGGATTCATTTGTTGGTGACTCCCGCACCGTAATGATTTCATGTATTTCCCCAAATTCTGGTTCATGCGAACACACATTGAACACCCTCAGATATGCAGACAGGTTAGGCATTGATTTGATTCTCATTTATGCTATGGTAATAACTTGTACAGGGAGAACAGCGCTACACCCATGTAGAACTACTCATGCCAGGTATCTGAGGAAGCACCTTCCAGTCTTCGAATGATGTACCTTTTCCTAGTAGGAGCAGCTTTAACCATTGACGTGTGATTTTTTGCATTTATTCATTTCTTCTGGTCTTTGCAGAGTGAAGAGCCTCTCTAAGGGAAATAACAAGAAGGATCTCCTGTTGGCAACCACAAATCTGAGAGACTCAACCATGGGCCAATTATCTTCTGTATTACTTGCTTTCTCTGACCTCGATAATAAGGGCATTGACATTTCCAGCGAGACCCACCCGTCTCATTGGTCCAAGCAATTTGCAAAAGAGTCATCTTTGCAATATAATTTAGACCATGTTCCTGGTGGGAGAGACGAGGGGCATGTAACTTCTGAATATTCTAAGCATTCAAGGGTAAGCAGTAGAGGTTCATCAACTGTGGGAGTGTTAGATTCCTCTGTGAATGTATATGAGCAAGCTATACCATCTCGGAAGGAATGCAAGGCAGATGCACATCCACAGTTGCCTGTGGATAATAATACGAGAATTGATTCCCATGTGAAACAGAAATATATGCACAAAGGAGGTGTCGATGATTTTGGCTCAGATGATGATCTAAATGGTCTCTTGCAGGTAGGTAGTCTTTTGGAGTCTTGATTCTCATCTGAATTGGCATTGACATGTTCTAATATAACAATAACAGGAAGAGGAGGATCTTATTGTGGCCCATCGGAGACAAGTGGAGGATACAATCAATATTGTTACAGAGGTACATGTTTCTAGATCTATAAATCCAGTCAGGTTAGAAATGTAAAAAAAATTACTTCGTTCTCTTGGCTTATCAGGAGATGAACCTGTTAGATGAAGCGGAGCAACCTGGTAATCAACTAGATGAGTACGTCTCCAGATTGAATGCCATTCTCTCCAAGAAGGCAGCTGGAATTGTAAGTTTGCAGGCCCAATTAGCTCATTTTCGTCGGCGTCTGGCTGAGCAGAATGTTCTTGTTTCCTAATCAGCATTTTGCCAAAATTGGTCGAACACACAAGATCATATAAAGATTATGAGGTACAGATTAAGCCATAAATAGTTGTCGTAATCACCACTTGATGCAGCAGCTGGCTTTGAGATGATATCTATCTTTCTTTTTCGCATGGATGTAAGATCTTACTGTTCTAGCTAGAAATGCCAGAGCATAGAAGCTGCGATGGATACAGCTAGTCCTTTAAATTCAATATGTAGCTTGCAACTTGGTGGAGATAATTTATTGTTTCAAACTCTTACAAATTAATTTTAAGCTAATTTACTCTAAATGTGTTCTAGAACTATTGTGTCAAAAGATCTACAGCATAAGTTTTGACTGTTATTCCATGTGAGACTGTTCATCTCAGGTGTCTACATAGCTGCCTTGTTGATTGCTCATGTTGTAGGCTCTCTGTTTTGCATGGAAAAATTGGCAGTTTTGACCTTAAGAATACTCAATTTGATGCGTTTAAATCACAGGATGGATGTAATTTTGGTAGATTAGATCAAGGAATTTGATGTACATTACCAAAATAAAGAGAGAATGAGGAAGCGATTTGTGTTCTTCGGATAGATTCCATACTAAACGTGAGAGACTACAAAGATGCAGACGAATACTTGCGGTGATTACATCAAACACAAAGCAGGCATTACACCGATAGAACGAGGAAGCAAACTTCCTTACTTGATGGCAGTCCAGACGACGTGGTCGCGAGGAAGGAAGTGGCAGAAGACGCTGCCGGGCGTCAACCCGAGCACCTCGAAGACGGGCAGCTTCCATTTAGCGGCGCTGCTGTGGCACGCCGCTACCGCCTCCACCCTCGTCCCGTCCTCCCTCACCAGGTCGACGACGCAGCTCGTTGCGGATCCTAGAAGCTTCTTAGGCCTCAAAAGCTCAACCCATTTCCTCCCCAGCATCTCCCATCACTCCTCTGAAGCAGTAGCAGTCAATGACCAGGAACTTTGGGTGCAGCTCTCGCCCTCCCTATCGGTCCCATACTCTTCAAACATCCGCCGGATCTCCTTGTAAGTCTTTCGATCGTTCGACGTCTCATTCTTTAACATCAGCGAGAGACATGGTTTGCTTCAAATGCATGCATGTTGTCATCAACACCACAGTCCTATCCTAAATTAATTAGACTACATAATCTACTGCTTGGTTTGGAGACTGGCCCGATATTTTTGAGGGGCAGCTTCATGGAAAAGGCAGGCGACGACTCCTCCACTTGGGCGGACATTTTTGACTGCCAAAGTCTGCCGTTGAATTCCAAGCTGAAGGTGACATGTTCGAAGGAGGGACGCTGGAAGATTCGTCGTGAGTGCTACAATCAATGCGAACGAGAGCGACAACTCATCATCATACCAACCGCGGTATCGAACTAGGGCACGCAAACGGAATGGAAAGAAAAGAATGGTAGATGCATCCACAGACACAAAATACATGTAAGATACATCCCAAACACTTTCTTCCGCCACTTCCTTCAACCTGCGACTTTCCTGCGCTCGTCAGCTTCTGCTTCGGCTCTCGGACGACGGGAAATCTTCGTGATCCTCCTCCTCCTCTCTCTCTGTCGCTAAATGTAAGCTCTAGCAAACCTCTTTTGCTTACCACCATGCTTTGCTTTTAGAATTGGTTTTATACTGTTTCTTTAGCTCCAGAACTTTGTTACTGTGCTTCATGGGATGTCCTTCTGATGCCTTTCTGATGCCTTTCTCTGTTTCTCACTTCTCTGTTCTTGGAAAAAATTCTGAATGTCTGATGACACCAAATAGACAAAAGTCTAAACAGAAAATTAAAATTTGAAGTTTCATTTTTTTCTCACACTATTTTTAATTGAAATGGAGCATGAGTTTTTTTTTTTTTTTTGACTTTCTCCTCTTTGGTTGATTCTTTCAGTTCAATCAAACGTAATTTAACTGTTTATTCTGTCTCATTTTGGCTCCCTTAAAATTGTTATTTTTAAAGTACAAACAAAGATTTTTTTTTTTCTTCTACAAGATCTATTAATTTTTTTATTTTTTACAAGGATAAATGAGATTCAAACCGACGATCTTATGATAAATTTTCAAAGTCTTTATCAAGTAAGCTGATTTTTATTTCGCATGGGAAAATACATTTTATACTCCTGAATTTTTAATTTAAAGTATCTTACCTGTGCATTGTCTTTGTAATGTATTTACGTTACATAGTATTAGATACATGCACATATATATATATATATGTATATATATATATGTATATATATATATATATATGTATATATATATGTGTGTATATATATATATATATGTGTGTATATATATATATATATATATATGTGTGTGTGTATATATATATATATATATATGTGTGTGTGTATATATATATATATATATATATATATATATATATCACAGGCCAACTGTTTGTTCTTCCTGCAACATTAAGCTAGTTTGTACTTCCTAGTGATTGCAAGCTCAATCTTCCAAATCTAACATTCAGCAATCCCTAGTAGAACTCCTTTGACTTAACCCAGCTGTGAATCTCACTCTTTCTGTATCTCTTTCACGCAGTGGTTTTTTATTCTTCTCTATATGCAGCGCAATGGCTATCTGAAGGGGAAAAGAATAGATAGGCCTGCTGGTGTATAGAAGAGAGGAAAGAAGTTGTAGGAGGCAGTGACTTGGAGTGGAGAAGAGACATACTAGAAAGATGCCTAAGTGGCTACAGTACGTGGGGTTCGTCTTGGGCCTGCCTTTTACTTTGGCTTCAGTGGCCATCACCATGGCCATCGCTATGCTCAGCTTCATCTTCATGCTCTTGGCGTAAGGCCTTCTGCCATGTCCAGTCTATATATAATTCAATCAACAGACCGAATCCTTTTGATGACTGCTAAACCATGGCAGGTGGACACTGTCTTGCTGCTCCTCGTGCTGCTGGTCATACCACGAGATGAGGGGGGTGGTGAAGATTCTCGCCACTATCCATCTTTATGTCGTAGGCTGGTTCACCTGCGATCCATTGTGGTGTAATTAGCTTCCCCCCATGTTGTTCATGTTCTTGATGTTTTATTTCTTTGAGCTAGATTCCCTGATTCCAGTCTTCTTCCTCAGGTTGGGGATAGATTGGAATAAATGACATAAAAATGTCAGATACAAGCTGTATAAACCCCTTAGAAAAGATCAAGTGAAAGGCATAACAGATTGCTAAGTGCCCCTGCAAGGATCTCAGAAGGAGATGTCAAGTTTCTTGTTAAGAGAATCCTGCAGTGACATTTGGGCTCTCTGGTGTGCCCCCCTTGATCCTAAGGATCAAGTTTTATCCATGCCATTATGAAATGTTTGCACAAGAACCATAATTCAATCTTGCAAACTTCGCAGGGTGATGTGCATGTTATATCTCTACTCTTTTTTTTTCTCCAGAATATAATTTGCACCTGTTCTCCTTGGCAGCACCAGAACCAGTCATAGAAAACAGGCAGGATTACCAACACCATTACCCTTCCCCAGATGATGTTGTCAGAATGGCACCACAACTATCACCTCCTTTACCAATCACTACCATCGGCTCAATGAATTCATTGTCACCCAAATCACTTACTGTTTCTGCTGGCTTAACCAAGAGAAGCTTCACGTATCAAGAGTTGGTGATGGCAACGAACAACTTCTCTGCAGCTAATCTGCTGGGAGAAGGTGGTTTTTCGCATGTGTACAAAGGGACTCTTTCTAATGGCACAGAAGCAGCAATCAAGCGATTGAAAGATGCTAGCAAGCAGACTGATGCTGAATTCATGAAAGAGGCTAACATACTGAGTCTTGTGCACCACAGGAATCTTGTTTCGCTGATTGGATGCTGCATTTCTGAAGGCAATCGGCTACTGGTTTGTGAATATGTCCCCAACAAGACCTTGAAGTTCCATCTAGACGGTACATGCTCACTTACCTTGCACAACACTCACAATCGCTAGCAATTCTTCTATGTGTGAATACGCAACAAGAAAGTTGATAAGATAAGCAATTCATGCATGCAATCAACATGCATAGATTGAACTGATTGCTTGAATTATCTGTATGGCATATAATTAGATTCTGCTGAATCTTATATGATGCCTTTGTCCTACAAATTCCTTATACTACACCAATTCTAGAAGCAAATTGCCTTTACTTTCCTCTGTTTTAATAATGCTTGTCGTCATGTAAGATTGGGAGACTTCAGTCCAATTAACTTCAACATTTTATAGATAGAGATCAACCTACATTGGCTTGGAAGGACAGATTTAGAATTGCCTTGGACTCTGCAAAAGGCCTGGCATATTTGCATGAAGACTGTAAGCTTTGCATTTGTTTCCTTACACTTTCTAAACTTGAAATATCTTCCTAATTTACTTTAATTATTCAGTAAATTTTCAACTGTCATCGGCCATGATGCTTGTATAGCTAACATCTTTAAGTTGTAATAATTTTGCAGGTCAACCAAGGGTCATTCACCGTGACATTAAGGCAGCCAATATTCTTCTGGATCACTCTTTTAGAGCAAAGGTAAATCAACCAATACTATACGATTGGTTCCAGTTGTTTTCTGCCTTCAGATGAATTAGTTTGCCACTATACCAAGAAGAAAAAAAACAACTTTTGGGACAAGTAGAATATTTCTACTGAGTCTACAACTGATTGAAGAGAGTAAATAAAGACTGACAAGATATTGGTCTTGTGCAGATTGCAGATTTTGGGATTGCAAAGTATTTTTCAGATGAGAAAACACATATTTCCACTGTTGTGAAGGGTACTTATGGGTAAATGTTATATCACACAATTCGCTTCTATCTCTTCATAGAATTAAACCAACATCTTCCACTCTGAAACAATCTTCTGATGTCATGACAGATACCTGTCTCCAGAATATGTTTCTACTGGACAACTCACAGATAAATCTGATGTTTTCTCTTATGGAGTGTTGCTCTTGGAGCTCATCACTGGGCGAAGGCCTATAGGTCTGGCTGATTGGGTCAGTCAATTAACAGACTTGTCTTCTGCTAATCTCTGAAAAGAAAAAAACAATCTTTTCGTTCATTTAATCAGTCTGCAGATATTTGTTTTTTTTCACCACATAAATCATAATATTTTTTGGCGGCAAATGAGGATGCCATTTGATATGTTGTTACAGGCAAGACCATTCCTGAAGCAAGCATTGGAAGATGGCAAATATGATGTCCTTGTGGATCCACTTTTACGGAGCTACTACAATCCTATTGAGCTCGGGAGAATGGTTGCTTGTGCCTATGCTTGTTTGCACCACTCAGCATCTCTTCGGCCAAGCATGAGTCAAGTAATTTGCTTAACTCACCATATTCCTTTTTTCGTGATGATAGAGCCTGTACTACTACTGCTTGTTAATTTTCTTCTTCTTCTTCTTCTTCCTCATTATCTTTATTTGGTACTTCTCTGTTGATCTCCCAAATCATTGACATCTGAATAAGTTTTGCTCTTCCATGTCTGCATTTAGCTACTGAAATTTACACATCATTCGATCCAATATCATAAAGAAAGTAGAAGTTTGACAAGGTTTAAAAGAAATATTTTTAGTGCAAAGTTGTGATGAATTCAATCACGAAAGAATGTTCCTTTATTCAGAATTTGAATTTTGTATTTTTCTCTGAACATAATGTGTGTGAACTTAGATTTAGGCCAGTTGATCTTCCTCCATTAGGAGACATTGTGCATGCTTTGATTTCATCCACTTTCACTAAATGTTCATAATTGATTAGTGATGCCTTCACTATTTTTGTATTTTTGACGATTGCAATCATATTTCTCTCTCTCTCTCTCTATCTCTCTAATATATACATATAAATTTTGAACAGATTGTCCGGGCTTTAGAAGGACTTGTTTCTCTTGGAGATTATACTATTGAAATTGAACCTGGGATGTTATCAGCAAATATTTTGGACCAATAAGTAAGCATTCTTTCTATCCATCCATAGTAGCCATTACAGGATCTGATATGCATGACACAGAATGAAAGTAAGAACAAGAAGTGTTATCCTAAGCTCGATAGCCAGGTTTTTGTTTCAGGAGCCAACCATATATTAAGGACAAATCAAATTGTTATCTCCTAATCTTTATCATGAGACTTCCTTTGTGTATATCTTTGTAAGTTGTACTGATATCTTTTTTCTTTGTAAGAATCTTTGAAATGTTGCCTTCTACTGTTAATTTGCAGATTCTGAAATCAGCTATAGAAGACTCCCCAAAACCCAGCTGAATAGCTGTGAAGAGGTCTCTGTGACAATATTTTGGGCTTTTCCTATTTCTCAATTGAATTTTTAGTATGAACTTTAAGCTGAATATATTGCCAACAGAAGATTTTGAGTAGCAAAGATATCCGTGTCGATGGCGGCAAATCTTGGTGTTACAATAAGATTGCTCCTCTATTATCATCATAAAAATGAAATTGTTATGTATATTGATTTTCTTTAGATTCTTTACATTGAAAATGAAAATTGTTACAATAAGATTTCTTTACATTGAAAATAATTTATATTCTTGAATGAAGTATGCCTGTTGAAGATTCAGCTTTAAATGTTGGGATGGAATATATTGATCTTGATCAAAAGTACACACAAAAATGATGTGAAAGCTGTTTTGATCCTTTCTTGAAGTCACATGATGCTTGTTCACCCAATTCAAAGATGTGAAACAGCTTGTGCATTAGTAGTAGTTTTCTTCTCTGATTCTTCAGAGTTGTCCTCAGTTGGCAACTCAACAGCTGTCCAACTATTCCCTTGAACAACACAGTCTCACCTGTTCTGGAGGTCAATCTTTATTTAGATATAAGAGAATCTAATTGCTGAGTCAATCTTTCCTTCGGTATAAGATAAATCTTTCTATGCTGTACAGAAAATGAGGAGTCGATATTTAGTTTAAACCAATCAACTTGTGATTTATTCCAGCTTATGGTAATCGGATCGGATTAGGTTCCGACGCGAGAATCCGCATTCGATCATTATCGAATCTCTTCACGGCCGCTCGACTCCGACATTGATATCAGAAGCGTAAATCAAATGCGTTCACGAATCTCAAGGCATGATGGGCACGGTGGTCGAGAATCCGAACTCCACCGGATCATGATCCAATGAACTTAATCCGTACCCGAGCCTGCACGGACTCCGACATTATCTCCGAGCCCGTCTCTCGCGCTCGCCCGTTGACGGCAAGGATCCTTCGAAAGGAAAAGGAAAGGGAGCGGACATGAAACCCTCGACGAAGAAGAGGAGCAGGAAGAAGAAGAGGAAGCCCGCCCCCGCCCCCGGATCGGATCCCGCCAAAGAGGAAGAGGCGGCGGCCTCGGCGGCGGAGATCCTCGTCAACGGCGGTAGCGATGACGAGCAGAAGCGAGCCCTAAATTGGTTGATCGACGCCTTCACTTCCGTGTCCGTCGATCAGATCGCCTCTGCGTACCGCGAGGCTGGCGGCGACCCCTTCAAGGCGGCCGGAATCCTCGGGGCCCGGCTCGACGACCCCGCGGTGGGACCGGCGGGAGGCCGTGAGGCGATGGGGTCGGGTAACGGCTTTGGAGGGAGTCGAAGGCACAAGAGGGTCGCTGCGGCCACGGGGATGGTGTCGGATGTGATCGGGAAGGGTTATAGCGGTTGCGGGAGGAGGAATAAAGATAGGATCGTGACTAATTTACAAAGTAAGGGGTGTATGAATAGGATGTACAAGGTCGAGGAGGCTGAGCAGTTCTTGTGTTCGATGCTCGGAGATGAGTCTGAGCTTGGCATGGGTGTTGTCACGGATGTTTTAGGTAATTGACTGCCTTTGCTATTGCTTTACTTTTGCAACCTAAGCTAATACAAAAAGGGGAAAAAAAAAAGAACTTGATGTCAGCCTAGACTTTCTGGTTCTTTTTTTTTGGTCCCCAGATGCTAACTCTGAATGGTTTACAATACAATCGAGAAACTCTAAAACAATCTATTATTTGTGTGTATTGCTGATTCATTTCAACATGTATGGAAGGTGGAAAATAGAAAAGACTGACCTTTTGCTAGTGCCATTAATATATATAAATCTAGCTCTTGTCTGTATATGTCAAAACTCTTTTAAAGCATGCCTATGGTTAATGATGAGAATGCAAGCTTGTAAAAGGAACAAGAACCATCAACGAGACTTATCTTTTTATAGAAAAAAGTGCACTTTGTTTTGCTGTCCGTAATTATCGTAGATTAAACAACTATAGATCAAAGAGTGTGGTGTTTTAATTGGGACATTTCTGAACGAAGCATACTGTGATGCGTCATGCAATATAACATGGAAGAAATCATAAATGCTTGGTTGCATTGTGCTGTTCTTTTATCCTTACAATGAATAACCTCTTTAGGTTTTGGACAAACGCTGGTGAAACGTAAATCTGCAATACTACTACTTACAAGTACTGTATTGTTTCTTCATACTGACACTTTCTGGTCTGCAAATTTTAGGGCCTTTGATATGTTATGAGCTTATAGCATGTGTTGATTATGTTCTATATGTCAGTTGGGTTTTCTTGGAGAAAATTCAAAGTATTGTATGTTTACCAATATTGGCCACAGGTTAGTGCCACAATCAGTGGTCTGCACATTGTCGACCCATCCCATGTCATAAAAGATTGTGACAGTCATACACCAAGTTACATCCTAGACTTGGTAGATGTCAATGTGCACACCTCTCAACATACCATACAAACTTCTATTGGCAGACACACATGCTTTGTACAGAGAAATGGACTTTTGTACTGTGTTATATAACCCTTTGGCATGGCTTGCACTCCCATGAGGTCTATGCTAATACTAGTCAATGCCTAAATTATTGTGGCATTTGCCTCTCTCTTACCTTGCAGTGCGTAGACCATTTCTGTGCTAAATGTGCCTAAATGTGCTCAATCATGTTACACAGACTTTTT